GTCCCCATCCCTGCCACCATTCCTGTCACTCCTGCACTGTCCACTGTCACCATTCCCTGTCCTGTCCCCATCTCTGCCACTCTTGACCGTCCCATCTCCATCCTTGTCACAATCCCCTGTCGTTGTTCCCTGTTGCCATCCCTGCCACCATCCCCTGTCCCCGGGTGTCCCCTGGTGTCCCCGGGTGTCCCCGGTGTCCCCGCGGTGACGCGCTGTCCCCTCAGCTCCGCAGTGAGTACATGCAGAACTTCGCCAGCAAGGTCAGCGAGGGCATGGCCCTGCAGCTGGGCTGCCTGGAGCTCAGGTATGGCCTTTGTCACCCTGTGTGTCACCCTGTGTGTCACCCTGTGTGTCACCCTGTGTGTCACCCTGTCCCCTTGTCCCTGTGTGTCCCCATGGCCCTGCAGCTGGGCTGCCTGGAGCTCAGGTATGGCCTTTGTCACCCTGTGTCACCCCTGTCCCCTTGTCCCTGTGTGTCACCCTGGCCCTGCAGCTGGGCTGCCTGGAGCTCAGGTATGGTCTTTGTCACCCTGTGTGTCCCCATGTGTGTCACCCTGTGTGTCACCCTGTGTAACCCCTGTCCCCTTGTCCCTGTGTGTCCCCATGGCCCTGCAGCTGGGCTGTCTGGAGCTCAGGTATGGCCTTTGTCACCCCGTGTCCCCTAGTCTCCATGTGCCCCTGTGTTGCTGTGTCCCCGTGTCCCTGTGTGTGTCCCTGTGTCCCCTTGTCTCCGTGTGTCCCTCTGTCCCCGTGAACCTGTGTCCTTCTGTCCATCTGAGTCCCTTTGTCCCCCGTCCCTGTGTCCCTCTCTCCATGTGTCTCTGTGTCCTTGTCTCCATCTGTGAATCCCCCTGTCCCCGTGTCCCCGTGTCCCCCTATCCTTCTCTCCCGCTGTCCCTCTGTCCCCATGTCCCTGTGTCTCTCCTGTTCCCTCCGCTCCCATGGGATGGGGGGGAGCGGGAATGGGAATGATGGGAACACTGGGAATGGGAACTGGGATTGGGGATGAGGATGGGAATGGAGAACAGTGGAGAAGTTCCAGCTCTTTTGGAGGTGGCAGGGGGACATGGGCGACGTGGGGACATGGAGGGATGTAAGGGACGTGGGGAATG